AAATTCACTATAGCTCTATAGCGAAGTTGAAGTTCAGGACATAAAATTCGTTATATCAAGGGTTGACTGTATATATCTTACTAATATAAGTATATAATTCTATTATATTGTTTTTTTGCTGTATCCAACTTTGAAATACTTGATACCATTCTTCAGCTGATCCAGTTGCGACTTTTTTTAAATAAAGATTAAACAAATGTTCTATAATTGTTTTATCATGCTAGCTTGTAATAGTACATTGACTAGGCATAGATACTTGTAATGCAAAAACTGCTTGCTCTAATTTTTATAAAGTTATAAGATGGTTTATAATGAATAAAGTGTTACCTGTCAATGATTTTAAAATTCCAGTTTGACGCTAAATAGAATCAGGTAAAATATTTTTATATTCTGCAATAATTTGACTATCCTAATAAATTGTAATTGAACATGAATTTTGATCCACACATTAAAAAAAACCAACTGTTTTCTTTTGTACTTATAAAATAAAAATGCTAAGTAATTATGACCAATTCTACTTATATTTGATCGAATATTACCAAGATAACCAACAAAAATAATTATATTTTCTATTTCAACAATAAAAGGACAAAATATAATTCATTCTAATAACTTTTGAGCTGTTTCTGACTGTTCTAAACCTAAATAAGAAAGCCCAACATATTTTGTTTGAGTGCCAAAAACAGATTGATAAACAGAAGTAATGGTCTTGAAAGCACTTTCAGCAATACCACTGCTTTTTTCTTTTTCTTTAAAAATATAAGCTGGTTGTAAATGACTATTAACATGATGAACTACACGAATAATAAAAGGACTTTTATTAAGTTGTAACATAATTTCAAGACCTAATCGTAAAGGAATAGGATAAAGAGCATTATTTTCATTAGAAAAAATCTACCATTCGTGTAAATATAGACCATAATAAAGTTCTGATACTATAGCACCAGTTATAACAAGTTTTCTGAAGTTATGTGGGTATTTATTTTTGCTATTTCTTAGGAAAACAGAGATTTCAAATGGTATTTTTTTTATTAATTAACATAGCATCACATTTTACTATATAAATTCTATCGATCACATTTGAATTAGCAATTAAAAGTCAAAAAATAAATAAAAAAGATTATTAAATTTGATTCTTAATACCACAATTTTACTTGCTTTTACCTTTATCAATTTTTTTATTTCTTTTTATACTTAACAAAATAACAAAAATTTTATTTTAAAAAGAAATTCAAATTTTATTATAAATTGTTATTATTATTATATTACTATTACTATTATTATTATTATTACTATTATTACTATTATTTAATTATTATTAATGTTGATTATTCTGAAAATGATTTAAAATGCATCATCTTTAAATCTAATTTTTTCATTCTAAGCTGAAATTCCATGCGTGATTGCTTTATATCAAACTCCATTTTTTTTGTAATGTTTCAGCTTTAAATCTCTTAATTGCTAACTCTTCCTTTTTATAAATCATTTCTGCTTCTTTAGCTTCTTTTTCAACCATGTGCTTCTTTTCAAATTACTCATTTTCAAAAGTAAGTCATTTTTCCCAAACTGCTTGTCATATATTACCCATAGAAATCATAGCTTTAGCTAATGAATCTTGTGAAGTTAACTTTCTTTTTTTATTAATTTGATCATTTTTTATTTTCATAACATTTCTTGTTTTTTTTCAAAACTATTAAACAATTCAATATTATTAGAAAAACCATCTACTAAGAATCCTGGATTGTGATTTTCACGCATTTCAAATAAAGTATTAGTTCTTTCAAACTATTTCCATTTTGCTTATGCTTCTCTTCCTGTTTTATTTTTCTTTTCTTTAATATCATTATATTTGGTCTAAGGTTGCTAGACGAAATCAAGAGTTTAGACAGACGTCTAAATGATAAAAGTAAAACTTGGTTATATTATATTAAAACCTTATTAAAAAATCTGCAAAATTTGGAAAAAGGTAAAACTATATCAAAGCTTATAAAAATGGCG